AGTATTTCTCGTAAACAGTGCAGTGTGGAGAAGGACAGTGCCGTTTTATGAAAGGTTTGTGATTTGGAAAGTGATTTTGCCCATCCAGAAAATAAACTGGCTTTCAGCAATAAATGGTTTGTGGATGGAAACAGAATTGATTTCTGAGGTGGTCAGCAGCGGTGAACCACCAGGTTCAGGCGGGTGAATGGGCAAGAGGCTGGGCAAGAGCGTGGATTACCTGACGTAGGGCATCTCTTCCCTTATGCTCTGGCGAGGAAATGAAGTTTCTCCTGTCGAGCCTGTTGCTCGTTACCGTTCGGGCCAAACAGAGAGTGTTTCCCGAGCTGGCACGACCGACTGCGCAGTGGTCGTGACCCTGGCAGAGCCTGAGGGCTGGAGAGCTGACACTCTTCTCCTAGGTACCAGGAGTCCCTCACCTACCTGGTCTACGCCTACCAAAGCAACACCAAGCTGCTGCTGAAAGGACCCAGCAGAGGAGTGAACGAGTCGCTGATCGCCCTGTACAGAAGGAATTGTCTCCTGGTTCGTATCGAGGAGCTCTGTGCTCGTCCTTGGAGAGGAGGGGAGGGAGCAGCCTGGGTGGCGTCAGCCTCTGTCCCTCACCACCGGCCGCTCGGTGCGTGGTGCCCGGGGAATCGGACCGTGGCACGTCCCCTCGGAGGAGCAGGCGTAACGAACGCGCCGGCTTTTCAGGGAAGGTTCGGGTGCCGTGGGTTTTAACTCGGCGCTCTGCTCCAGGATTTATTTCTAACGTTAATGGCTGCCTCTCTCTGAGCAAGGGATGATGTCCTTTTCCACAGAACAGCATAAAAACGAGCTTGGTTTTGCATTCACGCTCCGTGGTTGCCAAGACCCATGTAACTGTCTCTTCTCTGCCCCTTCCTGAGGACCAGCAGTAGTACGGAAGTCTGGGAGATAATAATTTAGAGAAAGGATGTGCCGTACGGCTCTTGGGGAACACGGGAAAAGGCAGATCTGGGTCTTGGCATCTTAAAAGCAGAATGACAAACAAGCTGTACGTCCTCCATACATATCTCTAGGCAACTACATACACGTCTATAAATACATCTCAGCCTGTCAGCTGTGCTCGCTGCCATCGAAGGTGGCTGTTCCCCAGCAGCTGGCCCCTGGTTCCCACCGTCCGCGTGGCTCTGCGTGGCTGGTGGTGCAGGGGCCCGAGCCGCCTGCCTCTCCTGGCAGCGTGCTGGTGACCTGAGGTCCCCGCTTGCTTTTCACGAGCCCTGTCCCCCGATCCTCCCTCCTCCCCCAGAAGCTGAACGAGGCGGCAGCATCCCTGTTCGTCAGCTGCGAAGAAGCTCGCGTGGCAGAGGGCGTTGGCATCCTGAACGAGCTGATCATTCCCTGCATGCACCTCATGAACAACTTCGAGATCTCCAAGGAGGACCTGGATGCCATCGAGGTCATGAGAAACCGCTGGTGCTCCTACCTGGGACGAGAAGACATGGACGGTAGGGAGCGGCGCTGCCCGCGTCGTGCCGTGTGTGGGCAGGGCGGTGGCTGGGTCTGAGCCAGGGGGGAATTAAAGGGCCGTTGGAAACGCTTCCTTAAATTCCTGGCGTTTGGGGTGCTTCAGGAGGCGAGAGGAGAAATGGATTTGTGTCGTCCATGGACTTTGTGTTATAGAAGAATCGAGGCTTCTTTTGCTCTGAAGCTGCAGAAGGAGCGTTCCTCTCCCCTGAAATATGAAAAGCTAATTCCAGAGTAATTGCTCAGTGTTGCTGAGACGTGCTTTGGTTTCCTTTTCTCTTCCCAAGTGGAGGGTTCCCTACGGCTGGCAGGTGAACGCCAACAGGCTCCATGGCGTAGGCATGGTCCGTTGTGTAGGCACGGTCCTCTTCAGGAGGCAGGAATGGGTTTTGTCGGTGGCCACAAACACGGGAGCAGATTCAGAGGACCTTTGCGTTCTGAGGAGAAGGTTGTTGGTTTAGAGCTGAGTTTTTGACAGCTGTTCTCATTCTGTATTTCCTTCTGCAGTCTGGAATCGGGCTCCCACGGCTCCTCTCAGGTCATTTTTGCTGGGAGAGGTGGGTTTTGACCGGCTCCCCTTGATCCGTGCGTGAAGGTTCGGGGAGTCCTCCCAGAGTTTTTTGCTGTTAGCAGAGGGTGAACTTGCTGAAGGGGAATAAAACCGCTTTGAGGTTTATTCTCGAAATACTGCTGAAAAAAATAAGATTGGATACATGGATGCTCGTGTGCAAGGTTCCCGTTCCTGGGCTTGCCCGAGCGGCGTTTATTTACGCAGAAGATTTTAAAGCAACGGGTAGGCTGCTTGCACCTCCCGGATGGCGCGAGCTAGCTCAGGTGTCACCCCCTTCCTCCTGCTTTCCTTCATCTGAAGGTGCCCGTGTGACCTGAAGCTCCATATGAGCCGGCAATGTGCTCTTGCGGCCCAGAAGGCCAACCGCGTCCTGGGCTGCATCAAGAGGAGCGTGGCCAGCAGGTCGAGGGAGGTG